GGCCCTCCTATTCCTTCTGTACTGAAATGTATTTTAATTGTACTGTCTCCCTTATATTATAAAGCGCTGAGCAAACTGTTGGCGCTATAAATCCTGTATAATAATAATAATATTTGAGCTTTGACAATATACAATATAAAACATATTCTGGATAATTGAAGCAATATTACCATTCACATAATATCGAGACATAGAAAATATCCAAGTTGACACAACAAGCTCTTGTATACGTCTAGACAATAGATAAGGAAAATATCCAGAAATGAAGAGAGGGAGTAAAGGGTTTAGCGGGACTGGGGATGAGGTGCAATAAAAAAGGGGAGGGGGGGGAAAGAAAAAAAAAGAAAAGAGGGGTGTGTAAAAGGGGAAGAGTTAAGTAAAGAAGAAAGAGCACAGAGAAAAAACGGGATCTCAGGTGGCTTGTGGTCGGCTAAGATAGATTTTCAAAAGACACTAGGTCTCCGAGTGGCGTTAGCAATGGAATCATTTCTAGTTACTAAACACTGGAGACTTCCTAGTATCAATGGGAAACCAGGGTGTAAGAGTCTAATTTTTAACTGAAGACCTGTTGAAGGGAGAGTTCCTTTGACCCCTGAAATGTGCTGGCTGTCTTTTAACACAACATCAATAAATGAATTTGGACTTTTATCTTTTGGTCTGGAGCTCCTTCCATATATGCACACTGGTTTCTATGTATATATATATATAGGGTGCAGCGCTAAAATAACATAAATATCATATTGTAGCATAAAGACAAGTGCAAATATCAGATCACACTAAGGTGAAATTGAGTGAATAAAAAGTCCCAAGATAAATAAAGGCCCAGCGTGGAGATCCAGTAGATCCTAATGAGTGCGTGGGGCAGAGTTCCAGTGTACCACACGGTGAATCTGGGGTAAAAAATGCGCACTCACCAGAAGTGCGTCAAAAATACGCATGTGAGATTTATCCTGTTACATCAGGTAGCGGTCATCTACTTCCAAGGTAAGGTCAGGGTCATACACCTTCCAATCGCAACTCGGAGTAGGCACTCCAAGATTCTTAAATGTGTCTCAAACGTGTCACCATCTGGGGTCCCCTTTTTGAACAGGTTTTGCAAGTGGGGACTCTCATTGAAGAGAGCCCAATAAGGGACACCACATAGCGTGATACCGTATACACTGAGTTTATTAAATCAGAAGGTAACACAACAATGGTAGGGATAAAAAGAAATGGAAGTAAACACTGACCAGATACTGTTCAGGATGGCCACCAGCGGTGGACAGACATCCGGATACTGTAGCCCCACTGACGCGTTTTGTGCGATGCACATTATCAAAGGGTCCTGAGCTTACAGTTTATGGTTTCTATGTACAGCTGCAGCAGATTTTGCACTTTCCAGTTTCAGTAAATCAACTCCACTGTGTAGCAACGCTCACTCACTTTATTATGTTTTAATTGTATTCTATTACATTTTTTAGTATTACAAAAACAAGGTAAAAGAAAGACATTCTGACATATATAAAAACAAATACTATAGATAAATCACATATTGTCCAGAAACAAAGAAAAATGTGATTATAAGCAATTTATAGAATATTTCATTATCCCTTACTATGTCATTTTCCTTTAAATTATGATTTAAACTACATTTAAAAATAACATTCCTTTCTCTTAACACAATGAAGTTATCCACCCATGAAAAGAAAAATAAAATGTATCATATGCTCTCAAGATTTTGTGTAAAACCAGGAAAAATAAACTGCATTTGTTAGGCTTCTAAACAAAAATGTTAGTTAGCAAATAAGCAACATAAAGAAAATAAAGAAAAAAATGAAAAAATTAACAAGTAAAACATCTGTACAAAAAAAAATTAAAAGAGGAGGGAAAAGAAATCTCTCTCATGGAACCATACTATTATTTTTTTTTTTCGTACAGTAACCCAGGTCCTGAACTCTGGTGAGAAACAAAAAGATTGTATTTAGGAACTGTTTTGTTTCATCATTTTCCTGTGACACCAGGCATTCTCACTTCGTTGCATGTGAAAAAACTTTCAATGTCAGAATTACCAAACCAAAAGGAATCAAGTAAGAAAAATTTATTGTTAGAGTTTATATACAGTACACAGTATATTTTTTATCCAAATAGGGGAATTTCTTTGTTTCCTTAAATTGTAAACATGCATTTTATATAGTCATCTTTGTGAATTAAACTTGCTAAACAATTTATTTATAAAACATTTATAAATCAGCCATGTTTTGATGCTTATATTAAGAAAGATATGGCTGCTTTCTATTACATTATCATTTACTGTATTTTTTTTAGTTTATTTTTTTACAGTAATTGTAAGTAAACACAAGAATTAAAAGTAATCTCTATAGACTTGTAAGTATCCCAGGCGGTAGTGTGCGATGCTTCTTCTATATATAAATAATGGCACATCATTGTATCAGTAGAATGTGACTATACTTATAGATAATACTACAAAGAGCTAAACAGAGCATTTATTAATCTATATCTTTTTTGGTCCAAATATTTCAAATCATTTTACAAAATTCATACATAACATTTTATTCTTCATAACATTTTTTAAACTGATTTTATTGAAAATCTATATATATTTTTTAGTTGATCTACTCTGTATTTTTCTGATATGTATATTTTAGATTGAACCTAATTGAGTTGCAGCTCCCCTGCATTGTTCTTTCTTTAGGTGATAGGGTAAGTGTGTGTTCAGTGAATCATGGTATGTTAGTAAAATATATTATTATTATTATTATTATACAGTATTTATAAAGCGCCAATACAATGCAAAACATGAGGGGATTGAGGGCCCTGCTCCTTGGAGCTTACAATCTAGGAGGGAGGGGATGGTGGTACAGCAGGGGATAGCTGTGGGGGGATGGAGTGGTAGGAAGAGTGGAGGAGGTCAGCAAGTTAGCAGGGGGTGAGGTAGGCTTCCCTGAAGAGATGGGTTTTCAGGGTGCGCCTAAAGGAGAGGAGAGTAGGTGATAATCTGATGGGTTGGGGCAGGGAGTTCCAGAGGATGGGTGACACCCTGGAGAAGTCCTGGAGGCGGGCATGGGAGGAGGAGACCAAGGAACTAGAGAGAAGGAGGTCTTGTGAGGAGCGGAGTGTGCGTGCTGGGCGGTACTTGGATATTAGGTCAGTGATGTAGTTCGGGGCAGTATGGTGGACAGCTTTGTACGTCAGTGTTAGGATTTTAAATTTGATCCGTTGCGCAATCGGAAGCCAGTGGAGGGATTGGCAGAGGGGGGTGGCGGAAATGGAGCGGTTGGAAAGGTGAATGAGTCTGGCAGCCGTATTCAGGATGGACTGAAGCGGGGATAAGCGGGGATAGCAGCGGCGAGGCAGGCCAGTAAGGAGGGAGTTGCAGTAGTCGAGTCGTGATATGATGAGGGAGTGGATGAGCTGTTTAGTGGTTTCTGGGGTTAGGAACGTGCGGATTTTGGCGATGTTGCGGAGGTGGAGTCTGCACGAGTTTGTTAAAGATTGGACTTGGGGCTGGAAGGATAGGTTGGAGTCCAGAATGACACCAAGTACTCTGGCCTGCAGAGCGGGGGTTTGATATTGGCGTTGTTGGATGTGATGTAAATATACTACTTCTAACAAACACATTATTTAACAGAATTTATTGATGTTCATTTGTAATAAAAAGTTGTTTTCTACAAAACTCTTGCAATTGAAATAAGAAACTCCTGGAGATGCTATTTTGCTACCATTAAAAAAAATAAAATTGTTCACTAGGAGATAAATGTGTATGTATTATTACTAGTGAGGATGCTGTCAGGTTTTGTCAGTAGGCATGAGCAAAATTGACAAATTTCAGGGAAACTGCTAAAATTTTTTCACCTTTTAGTAAAAAGCATTGAAGTTGACGTGAAACACAAATTATTGTGGTTTTAGTTTTTTTTCGAGGGCTTTAAATTGTTTCTGAATTTTTTTCTTTGTTGGATTTTTTTTATCTGCTTGTACTGTTTTTTTGTATTTTGAGATTTGTTCTTTGTTTTTTGTTTTTTTTTTTATACACCACATGAATATTTTGAATAGTTTAAATAACAACTTTTTAAAGTTTACTATTAATTGTATTATTATTTTATACAAAGTAGTTTTAAACTGGATTGGAGCTTTTCCTCAAAAAAATAAAAAATAAAATAAAAAAAAAAAAAAACAGAAAAATCATGTTTACCAAAATTTCAGGCTCATTCCTAGTTTTGTACCAAAATTAAGTGTATGTCCTTTTTTTCCCATAAATAGAGCTTTCTTTTAGTGGTATTTTATCCCCTCTTTGGTTTTTACTTTTGCGCTATAAATAAAAAAAGACTCACAATTTTGAAAAAAAAAAAACAATACTTTTTATTTTTTACTATAAAACATATCCAATAATTAAAAAAAAATCTTCGTAAATGTAGGCCAAAATGTATTCTGCTACATGCTATAGGGCAGAGGGAAAGGGGTGGTCGTAATTTTCTACAGCTCCCTCCTATGTGATGATCAGCTCCATTCAAATGCTCCAAATTTTGGCATGCAAAGACAATATAATACCACACACAATTATTATTATTATTATTATTATTATTATTTTTAATAACATTATTATACAGGATTTCTATTGCACCAACAATTTGCTCAGCGCTTTACAATATAAAAAAGGGACAGTACAATTACAATACGGTTCAATACAGAAGGAAGAGCAGGGACCGCTCATGGAGATTACAAAAGGATTGTATTGTATTTAGTTAAACATAAAACCACAAACTCAGAAGGGTAAATATCATAGCTCAGAAGTCACTGGATCTCTGCTGCCCCACCATATTCAATTTAAATCAAGTGACATGAAATCTTCATTTTTTTTTAACCACATCAAGTCCGGACACTTTCCCTCCCTTCCAATCCGGACACTTTCACCCCCTTCCAGTCCGGACACTTTCCCCCCCTTCCAGTCCGGACACTTTCCCCCCTTCCAGTCCGTACACTTTTACCCCCTTCCAGTCCGGACACTTTCACCCCCTTCCAGTCCGGACACTTTCCCCCCCTTCCAGTCCGGACACTTTCCCCCCTTCCAGTCCGTACACTTTTACCCCCTTCCAGTCCGGACACTTTCACCCCCTTCCAGTCCGGCCACTTTCCCCCCCTTCCAGTCCGGACACTTTCCCCCCTTCCAGTCCGGACACTTTCACCCCTTCCAGTCCGGACACTTTTACCTCCTTCCAGTCCGGACACTTTCCCCCCTTCCAGTCCGTACACTTTTACCCCCTTCCAGTCCGGACACTTTCCCTCCCTTCCAGTCCGGACACTTTCACCCCCTTCCAGTCCGGACACTTTCCCTCCGTTCCAGTCCGGACACTTTCCCCCCTTCCAGTCCGGACACTTTTACTCCCTTCCAGTCTGGACACTTTCCCCCCCCCTTCCAGTCCGGACACTTTCCCCCCCCCCTTCCAGTCCGGACACTTTCACCCCTTCCAGTCCGGACACTTTTACCCCCTTCCAGTCCGGACACTTTCCCCCCCTTCCAGTCCGGACACTTTCCCCCCTTCCAGTCCAGACACTTTCCCCCCTTCCAGTCCAGACACTTTCCCCCCCTTCCAGTCCGGACACTTTCACCCCCTTCCAGTCCGGACACTTTCACCCCCTTCCAGTCCGGACACTTTCCCCCCCTTCCAGTCCGGACACTTTCCCCCCTTCCAGTCCGTACACTTTTACCCCCTTCCAGTCCGGACACTTTCACCCCCTTCCAGTCCGGACACTTTCCCCCCCTTCCAGTCCGGACACTTTCCCCCCTTCCAGTCCGTACACTTTTACCCCCTTCCAGTCCGGACACTTTCACCCCCTTCCAGTCCGGACACTTTCCCCCCTTCCAGTCCGGACACTTTCCCCCCTTTCAGTCCGGACACTTTCACCCCCTTCCAGTCCGGACACTTTTACCTCCTTCCAGTCCGGACACTTTCCCCCCTTCCAGTCCGTACACTTTTACCCCCTTCCAGTCCGGACACTTTCCCTCCCTTCCAGTCCGGACACTTTCACCCCCTTCCAGTCCGGACACTTTCCCTCCGTTCCAGTCCGGACACTTTCCCCCCCTTCCAGTCCGGACACTTTTACCCCCCTTCCAGTCTGGACACTTTCCCCCCCTTCCAGTCCGGACACTTTCCCCCCCCCCTTCCAGTCCAGACACTTTCACCCCTTCCAGTCCGGACACTTTTTACCCCCTTCCAGTCCGGACACTTTCCCCCCCTTCCAGTCCGGACACTTTCCCCCCCCTTCCAGTCCAGACACTTTCCCCCCCTTCCAGTCCAGACACTTTCCCCCCCCCTTCCAGTCCGGACACTTTCACCCCCTTCCAGTCCGGACACTTTTACCCCCTTCCAGTGTCCGGACACTTTCCCCCCCTTCCAGTCCGGACACTTTCCCCCCCTTCCAGTCCGGACACTTTCCCTCCCTTCCAGTCCGGACACTTTCACCCCCTTCCAGTCCGAACACTTTCCCCCCTTCCAGTCCGGACATTTTCACCCCTTCCAGTCCGGACACTTTTACCCCCTTCCAGTCTGGACACTTTCCCCCCCTTCCAGTCCGGACACTTTCCCCCCCCCTTCCAGTCCGGACACTTTCACCTCTTCCAGTCCGGACACTTTCCCCCCTTCCAGTCTGGACACTTTCCCCCCCTTCTAATCCGGACACTTTCACCCCCTTCCTGTCCAGGCCAATTTTCAGCTTTCAGACTCACACTTTGAATGACAATTGCGCGGTCATGCAACACTGTACCCATATGAATTTTTTTAGCATTTTTTTGAGACAGATAAAACTTTATTTTGGTGTATTTATTCATCACTGGGATTTTAATTTTTTTGCTGTATAAATGAAAAAGTCCAAACATTTTTGAAGTGTTTTTCTTATAAAGTTTTGCAAGTAAATAATCTTTCTTCAGAAATATTGGCCAAAATGTATTCATCTATCTTTTTTAGTAAAAAAAAAAAACCCAAATTAGTTTATAACCAAAAAATTATATTTTTTTTCTAAAATTTTGTTTACATTTTTATTTTATATTATTATTTATGCTTTTTTTTTAACATACTGTCACTCTAGCAGTGCAGTGACACCATAGTGACACTGTACTACTTGTGGGGGTGATGATTTTTTTTTTTGTACTCTGATTGTTTTTACACCCATAAAGGCTGTAAAAGCAATCATTTCTCCTTCTCTCTGGCTGCATTCTTGAAGCCATTGAGAAATACTGTGAGAGCTGCGATTGGTCACAGCTTGTCACATGGTACAAGGCTGTTGTGAATAGCCCTGTACCATGGGATCTCTGTGATGATTCACAGATTTCACATGTAGTGACATCTTGCTTACTACTATTCATGTGATTACTGATTGGCCAATCAGGTATCACATGAATCGAGACCTCACGCAGAGGTCCCGTCCAGTGATCAGACACTGTGGGCACTGGATCGCGGGGCCGAGCGATCCCAGGGAGCGTGCACAGGCAGGGAATGCGGGGGGATGTTTATAAAAAGGCCAAGTGGTTAATAACAACCATGTCATACTTACCTGCTCTGTTCAGTGATTTTGCACAGAGTAGCCCAGATCCTCTTCTTTTCAGGTCCCCACTGGTGCTCCTGGCTCCTCACCCTGGGGGCACCACTGAGTGCTCATACCTGAGCCACTGCTCTATGCATCCATTAAACACATAGATAGAGCCGTGACTCAGCCCCCCCCCCCCACTCTCTCCTCATTGGCTCACTGGCTGTGATTAACAGCAGTAGTAGCCAATGGGCTCCCACTGCTGTCTCAGCCAATGAGGAGGAAGAGTCCCCCAGACAGCAGAGGCTGTCAAGAATATTGGTGGATTGGAGGGGGCTTGGGTAAGTACTGGGGGGGGGCTGCACACAGAAGGTTTTTTACCTGCATGCATAGAATACATGAAAGTAAAAAACCTTAAGCCTTTAGAACCACTTTAACCCCTTTACGCCTGCGCTGAGTTTCAGACGCCAGGAGGTGGGGCGGGGTTTTGGGACATGTGACCACTGTGACACACCATCACGGCGGTCACATGATTGGGAAAGGTCCCGATGGAAAGAGGAGATCGGCACCTTTCCGTGAGTACCGGACATGTGTGGTGGGAGCGCGCAGGGTGCGCGCTCTCGGCACATATGTCCTTTTTAATAGAACACAAATGTTCTGCCGCTTGGCATCTAGGCCCAGACGCCGGGAGGCCGCACATTTGCGTTCGGCCGGCGTGAAGAGGTTAAAGCACTTTTCACAGATAGGGTTTCCCTTCAAACTCGGCTTCTCAGACTGCTTGCACATGCCGGGGTTTATTTACCAAAGCTGGAGAGTGAAAAATGGAACCAATCAGCTTCTAACCGCATCTTGTTCAATAAAGCTTTGCCAATAAAACATGGAAGCCGATTGGTTTCTGTGCAGAAGTGCTCCTGATTTTTTACTCTCCAGCTTTAGTAAATACACCCCACCGTTTAGACCGCTCCCCAACATGTTTTGTTCCACCAGAGACTTCCTCAAGAGGACATTTTGGGTGAGGTAATACTGCAGCTGCATTAGTTTGGGTTTATTTTATGGTTTTAAACCGTATGTCACCAGGGGTGAATTTACCACAAGGCAAACAAGGCACTTGTCTAGGGCGGCATTTTCTAGGGGGGCAGCAATTCCTCCCCCAGAAGAAGGGATGAAAGAAGGGACATGTGCGTCATAGGAACTAGGTGAGATCCGAGAGAGGTTGCAGGCTGCTTGATGGTGTATGTAGAGTCTGACTCTCGTTCCCAGGGCATGTCTGGAGCTGAGAAGACGAGTGTCTTTCTCTCTATGGCCGGGGGAAGGGGTAGTGGAAGGTTCTCCCAGGTGGGGGCAGGGCTGTTGTTGGTCAATGTCAGGCTCTCTCCACAGGAGGGGGAAGGGGGAGTGTTAGTTGGTGTCCATGGGGGCAGATGATTTTTGTGTAGCACAAAACCTAAATACACCACCGCATGTCACCCGGTCACTATAGATTTACTGCGACTGAGCAGCAGCTGCAGGCTCAGAGATGTAAATAAACTTTGCCGCCTATTGCTGTCCTGTGTCCAACCACATACACTTGTCTCCTGATGACCCATGCTGTGGTTGGACACAGCACAATTTTGCCAGCAGGTTTCAGCCAATAATTTATGGCTGAGACCTGCTGCTGATCGACTGTGTCCAATCACAGCACAGAGTCCTGTGTGTTTACAAACACACAGGACTCTGTACATAAAGCAGTGATCTGGCTGTTTCCTCCCCCTGAAGAGCAGGGAGAAATAACAGTCAGATCTCTAAGTAACTGAAGCACATATCACACATATTGCACTTGTTAGGCACATAGTCAACCTCTTGATTGCCCCTTTTTGTTAACCCCTTCCCAGCCAGTGTTATTAGTACAGTGACAGTGGGGGTTATTAAAATCTGGTGCAGCTCTGCATAGAAACCAATCAACTTTCAGGTTTTATTGTCAAAGTTTAACTGAAGTTAGAAGCTGATTGGCTACCATGCACAGCTGCACCAGATTCTGAGTGCTCCAGCTTTAGTAAATCTCCTCCAGTGTACACTATTATATCTGTTCACTGTATTACTGTCACTATTGATGTCAGTGTCAGTTAGTCAGTCAGTGCACCTTCTAGCAGGGGCGGACTGACAACTCATGGGGCCCCCAGGCAATAGGGGATCATGGGGCCCCTGTGTCCTTGCCCACACTCAAACCACACCCAAAAAAGCCTAGGAAAGGTACCAGGGGCATCTCATGGGGCCCCCTTCTGACCTTGGGCCTTCGGGCAGTGCCTGAGTTCCCAAATGGTCAGTCCGCCCCTGCCTCCCAGCAAGGGTCTGTTAGCACCAGATTGCCCCCCACACTGTCACAGTCCCATTATAAGTTTCTGATCACTGGCCATTACCAGTATAGAATCATACCTGTGCAAATTCCAGTATATATACCATGGTTTGTAGACCATATACCTTTCACAAAAGTCAATTAATATAAAATATTGGGATTTCATTACCAAAGATATGTAGCAGAATACATTGTGGACTAAATTTATAAAGAAATTTTTTTTTTTTAATATGTTTTATAACAGAAAGTAGAAAATATCCTTTTTTTTCAAAATGTCAGTCTTTTTTTTATTTATATAATAAAAAAAACAGTGGTGATCAAATGCCACCTAATGAAAGCTCTGTGTGTGTGAAAAAAAAATTATATAAATTTCATTTGGATACAGTGTTGCATGACAGCATGACAAAGAAATTGCCAGTTAAAGCAGCACAGTGTTGAATAACAAAAATGGCCTTGTCATGAAGGGGGGTAGAACCTTTCGGAAGTCAAGTGGTTACATTTTGGGTTTGTGCACATTTTTATTTGGTGTATTTTTTAATATTTAAAGTGTGGAGTAGGGATATATTCTACATTAAATAAAATTGTTAGCCATTAAAAGGGATACCTTGGAAAGTAATTTAATCATGCAGAAAGTCATCTCTCTGCATATTTGGTGCATTCAGAGTGTCAAATCAACAAAGAGTTTAGAACATTTTTATGCACAACACACCTTTGGATGTGGCGCATTAGTGCATTGTGGTGTCATTTGTTTTGAGTTGCACCCAGGGGCGGACTAACCATTTGAAAACTCAGGCACTGCCCGAGGGCCCAGGGTCAGTAGGGGGCCCCATGAGATGCTCCTGGTACCTTTTTCATAGGCTTTTTTGAGTTTGGGCAAGGACACATGGGCCCCATGATCCCCTATTGCCCGGGGGACC